CGATGATGCGGTCGCAGCATCAAGTGCTCTTCAGGATCGGGGTGCAACCGGCATCGTTGATGTTGCCATGAAGGCCTCATGGATTGCCACAGTTGCAATGGCGGTCACGATGAGGAAGTTAATGTAGAGTTGGGATAAATATGTTGAGATGAGGAAGGAGTGGCAGTAGCTAACAGAGCTAACGCTTAGCTTAGTCATGGTCGCGTTCTATGATGGTCACCAAACTTGCCTGAATGGATATATTGCCTGGAAGGTTTTCTTTTTTTTTTCTTTTCTTTTTTTTTGGGTCACTAACCCCGCATACAGAGTGTATAGAGGGTTGTTAAGAAGTTAAAGCTGAGAAGATATATGGAAAGGGCTCTCCTGTTTTCCGAAGAATAGACATCATCATCATGTCTAAAGATCATGTAGTAGTCGCAGTCTTGTCCGCTGAAGGCGGCAAAAAGGCAAGACAGTCAGAGGAAGAGAAGGCGACTCGGAAGAAGGCGAGGGGTGAACAGGCAACGCGAGAGAATGCAGCAGCGAAGGAAGTATAGGATAGACCGCAACCGGATCATTTTAGGACGGCCAGAGCCAGGAAGCAGCGAGAGGAGGAATTAAAGTTGCAGATGCCGAGGCTGGAAACCTAAAAGAATTGGCGATTAAGAGGGAAGAGAATTGACACCGGCAATGTCACTAGAACAAACCACATCCCTTGCCGTTACGTCTGGAATGCACGCCCTGATAACCTGTCCGCTATAGCATGAAGCGCATTCGGATCAGTTGGTGTATACAGAAAAAGGGTATTCGGAAGTTCTTTTCTTCACATTTTCCGATGCCACTGTTTTAGGATCGAAAATATTTCCCAGGAACTGAAGCGGAAATGAAAAGAAATTCGAAAAAGTCACTTTTCGGTTCAAATCTTGAGTCAAAGGTAAGAAGAGAGGCGGAGAGGTATGGGGGGGGGAAAGGTGATGGAGTGGAACAGGATGGCGGTGTCCAACTTTACAGCCATGCGCCTGGAGAGGGGAAGATGCAAGGCGTGGTTAAAGAAGCTGGGAGTAGTAGAATCAGAGAGGTGTGGGTGTGGCGAAATCCAGACTGGGGAGCACTTAGCTTTCCGGTGCAGCAAACAAGAGAATCGCCCAGGAGGCTTCAAAGAATGGGGGGATATGGAGAAGAACTGGAAGCGGACGGCAGAGAATGGGGAGGAGTGGGAAGAGCTAGAGAGGTTCTTTTCCAGAATTAGGTGGTAGAGGGGAGGGGAAGAGGCCGGTGAGAAGTTTATGTAGTTAGAAGTTTCGTTTTCAGCCTGTCTCCGGGCTATGAGGGCTTGCCCAGGGACCCTGCCATAGCTTCGTGCTGCAAGCGCGGGGTTATGTGATTTAAAAAAGAAAAAAGAAAAAGTGAGTCAAATCTGGGTTAGACTCATTTTGGCATAGGTCAACTGCACAGCCTGCATAGCGTACGTTTCAGTGCCGCCTACCATAGCAGGATAATATTAGTAAGTTTGCAATACACATGATACGCCAAGCACAGATGAGGGGGTTCGACAGCATAGCTCAGCTTGCACGACCCCTGACCTGACGCGACCTGCGTCGCTTCCTGAATTCGGACGTAACCTCCATTTTCTGTGGATTGGGCTTGTTTTGGCGACCCGAGTCCCATTCCAATACTGGAATCGATTCCAATGTACGTGAGGCTTATGATCATTTGCAGGGTGCCAGTTCGAAGAAACTCCTCCGACCTCGTATGAGCAATTATCAAGGACAATGATCCGAATCCAAAACAGACTCCAAGTCGAACTCATAGCCCAAAGAAGGGTTCGAGAAAGCTCGCAAGCCAGCATTGCACGGTTCGGTACGTACATTGAGCAAGAGTAAAAATGGGCTACAGGTTTCGACATTGGTCAGAAGGAAGAAAAAGCGGGCAGGACTGACTAAAGAAGATGTACAACGGTGTTAAAGAATGACTCTCAAGAGAGTATATGGCGATATTGTGAGGAAGGTTTGCGTCAACGAGTGATCAATTCTACAAATACAAAGACTTCCGAAATATAATGATTGTACTTCTCAGGCTATGAGTTAGCACCGGGGTTCGAGTCTCGCCTTCAGTGGGCACGTCCATCACTTGAGCATTCAACACCTTGCCTAGCTGCTATGTTATTGATATCTTCTTGATTTGGAGCAGGAGCTAATAAAAGCTGAATTAGAAAAGAGACTATGAGGTCGTGACCCTAAAGACCAAGAGAGAGCATCAGACACAGAAAAATGATATTATCAAATGAGCTGGTAGTCTCGATACTGCTTTTGTATACAAGACGAAAGATCGGTACTTGAAGAGTGGGAATAGCGCTGCTGCTGCAATAGTCTAAAGCCTTAGAATCGTAGATAAGGATCCAAATGGAGAAAAAAATGAAAGCTCAGGTACGACACTATTGAAGGAGATATATAAATAAGGTGGGAAGCTCACTACTGGGGCTCTCGAAGTGGAGGAATAGGTTCAAGCAGGAGCGGATTCCTTATCTTGAATTCCTTCGAATGTGAACATATACTATAGCGTAGTATACCGTGGCGGCCTCTGTCAAGATGTGCGAATCGAAGATGACGATTTTAGTCTCACACAAGTTGATTCCATTAAAGAATTGCAGTTCTGGCAGTGTGCGCGGAAGGATATGTGCAGCAGGGTCAGCATGTGAGAACATTGAGCCGGGGAGGGAGTGGGGAGGCGGGGGGTAACAGTGAGGAGGGAGCGGTGAGGGGGAGCTGGGGGGGGGGGGTCCAAGATACAGCAGACAAAATAAAAGGTAAAGGAGGAGCTTGAGCCTGTTAAAGAAGTAGCAAATCAACAGCGTAATAACCTCCTACTTACCAGATCTCAAAAGTGAAAAAAATATACAACCTGTCAACTTAGATTCATCAGATGATGAGTCTTCCAGCACCGGTGGTATGGCCTCAAGCTCCGGAGGTGTAGGAAAGCGGCGAAAAAACTCTGCTGGTGAATTGTACTTGCTATTACGGATATGCGAAAGGACTCAAAAAAAAATGATAGTCATTCGGTGAAACTGCGAAAGCTGTCAATGAAAGTCTACGAGCTCTAGTTACAGTTGCCAGTCCATCTCCTTATTCAGATACAACCTCTACAGTACACCTTTTTTCTTCTTCTTTTTTTTTTTTGAGTCACGTAACCCCGCATACAGGCTCCCAGCCTATGGCGGAGACCCATATACCCGGGTCGGGTTTCGTACAACACACCATCATGGCTAGATACTCTTGAAAATGAAATGCGGGCTCAAAGATCAACCATTGAGCGAATTCTAGCTGGATATGAACCAACAAGCTTCAACAGTTCAGTCTAGTAACATCCATACTCAACAGGCGTTGTCATCCACGGCATAGCCCTAAGCCAAGACTTGGGGAAGGTCAGAAGATGGTTGGAGGCCTCCAACAACGACATAGGAAAGATTGTAGGGGTAAGATGGCTGCGGAGGAAATCAATCACTAGTGGAGGAAGGCAAGCAGACTTGTTCTGCGGTGGTATATTTGGAGACACAGACGGAAGTCGGGAAAGTGAGACTCGGAGGAAAGTGGTTGCGGACGAGCGTGTACGAGCGGGACAGAGGAAGGAAATAGGAAGGTCCCGGCACATGCTGACCCCAGGCTCGACCCACCCGCATCATCAATGAGCGCCGCGGGCATCATATGTAATTATCTTTGATATTTCTCCTTTATTTTTTATGTATCTAAACCCTCGCCATAGCCCTTAGGGCGGCATGCGAGTACTGATATTTAAAAAAAAAAAAAAAAAAAAAAAAACAGGAGCCGGAACCGGTGGACTCCAAACGGCATTCTAGTGCAGACCTCAAGCGACATCCAGACTTCGCGCACCGCCACCCTTGGCGGGGCTGCAGGGTCCAGACACCCGTCAACGCTTCCCTACCATAGAGCAAAAAATAGAAAAGCAAAAAAGTATAAAAAATCAACAGGCGGTATCATATTCCTGTCGGATCGTTAGGTAACCCGCTATCTTGGCGACTTGTTACCCCCCCAACCCTCGCCAAGCGACGACTCAACCCGTAGTCTCGCAGTAACCAGGCAAAGCATTTCTGGAAACTTGCAAAATAACCTATCCAGAACCCAGTTCATTGGTTTGTAGACGCCTATGCCGAACAAAATAATCAAACCCTTTGTGACTATTAAACGTGCTGAGCGGAATATTAAGCCAACATATACTGTATACTTCCTATACAAAAATCTAGGGTCGTAATGATACATGTTCGTAGTGGGGTGGTGTGGTCGAAGGAGCGATTACAGCTTTCCAAATCTGGGTGCCGCAAGGCCGAGCTGAATACTCTAAAAAGTGGTGTGTAACCCTATTATCTTAGTACCAGCAGCTCGCAAGGCTGACATGCATACAGTATAGCTTGGAGGGAGGACTGGCGCATTTAGATAGCCCAACTGTCGGGTCCAAGTTTTGTTACTATTGCCTTTTAGGGACGTTTTTTTTCGTTTCTTTTTTTTTTTCTTTTCTTTTCTTTTTTTTTTTTTTTTGCGGTTTCACATCCATGCCTTGCCTGACATAGGAAAGACAGCTGCGGTGACCGTAATAGGACTGTAGTCTTAAGGATTACATGATTTCTAAACCAGGAACACTTGCAGCTGCAGAACCGGTAGTTGTTTACGGTCGGAGTCGCACCAATTGCAACGTACTTGTTGCTTCAATTAAAGCGAGTGGGAATGCCGCAATCTTGGTCCGTCCAGAATACCAAGAATTGAGTGTGCCATGGATTATGCATGGATCACTCTGTCGGATTGCTGCGCCAGCTAGGAGGCCTTGGCATCAGAGAAAACCACTAGAGGATAACGAGTATTACCATCGCGCTCCCTACGCCATAGAAGGGACATCGAAGTACTCTGCCTGCTCTGTTGTGTGCTAGTTTGGCGCGACTGTGCTGCTGTTGGATCTCATGTGCGCGTATGTAGTTATCAGGGGTTGTAAGAATAGTTCAACCACCAAAATCGTCTCTGGTAGTATAGTGGTTAGTATTCCCGCCTGTCATTACCGGTGCGCGGGCGACCGGGGTTCAATTCCCCGCCAGAGAGAATTTTTTTGTACTTTTTTTGGAATCTTTCCAAGCGCCAAGCTACTGCCCGCGCTCGGCACTCCTCCTCTTTTTACACTATTCAAGAGTTTTTTTTTTTTTTTATTTTATATCATTACTCGCATACCGCCCTGAGGGCTATGGCGAGGGTTTATTTAAAGAAGAAAAACTACGACCACTAGATACATGTGTTGCCCGCGGTGCTCATACATGATGCGGGTATCCATACAACGCCCTTCACTTCCGTCTCCTGTCTGGCTCGTATGGGCTGACCCTCAACCATTTCCCGCCCAGCCTTACCCTTTCTACGTCAGCCTTGTCTTCCAAGTACACTACGACCGAACTGGCCTTCTTCCCCTCTTCCAGCAACACGGTCTTCTTCCTTAACCACCTTATCCCAACTGTCTTTCCCAGGCCCGTGTTCCCAGTCTCCAACCATCGCTGGACTTTCCCCAGGTCTTTTCTGAGGGCGATTCCGTGTACTACGACGCCGTGCTTCGAGGTGGTGGCGTCGGGGCTCGGTGGAGGGGCGGGGGCCTTGTCTGTCTTCTTGGGGGAGGGCTTGTCGGTCCATAATGTCCTCTGCATTAGGCATGTTAGCATGATGTACAGCAGGAAAATAGCTCACTTTAGGATAGTAGTTGATAAGTAACCCTACATATACCCTTTTTCTATGGAACCATATAAATATCGCAGAGCAGACTGCCCACACAGCCAACCAGTACTGGAAACGGAGGTGGCCGGAAGGAGAAGAGGGGGCGAAGGCATCGAAGGAGAAGATGGGGGAGGACAGGTTAGTGGGCATGCTCAACTGGGCGCATACCTACCAGGCAACTCTAACGTTATCTCGTATTTCCTATTCTAGGAGGGTCCGTTATTTCATCCTTTATTTCTTAGGAGAGGTCAGACAGAGCCGGTAGTTTAATGATTTCCTTTTTTCTTCCCTATGTAACTACTCTCGCCATAGCCCACAGGGGCGGCAAGCGAGTAATGATATAAAAAAAAAAAAAAAGGGAACCAACCAGTATATCACTGTCTTCAATTATTATAACTCTTCGCGCTCTCAAGCAGCTATATTTTTGCTTTTAGATATTTAACAAATGAAATGAAGATATCGACATAGGATACAGTAGTATGGATTTACGGGAATTCAAAAGCAGCGCGGAGGAAGACATTGTTGGCTGTAACTAGCTATAGCGTACAAACAATACCTTGAGTTTATATTGTGCTTTGAGTAATGAGGGAAACTGTCAGGGTCTACCCGCGAAGGGGATATCCACCCGCATTGGCCTGTAAAGCTGCAAGTGACAATTCGGTCTGATCAACCGATAGCTACAGTCTGGCAGTGAAACATGGGTTGGGCACGGATGTGTATCACAAGGAACGCCGATATAGTCAGAGCGTAGCGACAGCCACCGGACGGATCTCTAGAAGCAAAGCCACCGAATGGACCTCCAGGAGCAGAGCCACTGAATGGACCTCCAGGAGCAGAGCCACCGGATGGACCTCTAGATGAGGCGAGGCAGTGGCTGAGGGATGCCCATAGATAGAACATCGTGATATCATAGCATAGATAAACAATAGATGGAAGGCACACCAGATTGACTATAAGAAGGGCCAGCTAGAGCTGCCCTGTCGAAAGGTCAAGCACCAAGCGTTGTCCTAAGTTACACCCTCATATTTACTACATCATCGTAGAAACCGTAACAGAAACTGTCTTTTGGATACTATGCTCGTTTGAGTGATTGCGAAGGATAATTTTCGGTTGCTATTGTACGCCATGCAGAGTGGATAAACAAACCTTAGGTACAGGTGTATCGACAGCGGAACCTCTCCGGACAGGCAGATTCTGCCTGCCGCTCCCGGACCTCATCAGACGATAAACTTTATGCCATGACACTGTTACACAGGTACCAACATTGTGGGGTAGGTATGATCAATTGTTGGTACAGGTATATTGCAAGACAAGTTGCAATTTGACTAGTGGCATAAGTGCGTACCGGCCCACTGGCTTGCCAAAAGTCGGCCCATGCTGTGATCTACTAGTTTGAATGCATGATTACTCAATTAAGTAAAAAATGAAAATGGAAAAATAATGGAAAAATAGACCTCAATTAATGAGCAGATGAAGAAACAAAAATGAAATCTTGGGTTTCCTATAGTACCTCACTCTGTGATATTACTCCCTTATCAGTTCCTGTCACACTGCTAGTAGGCTTCGTCTTGCGGTGTCTCTTGCTCTTAGGATGTTACATTTTGAGTACACCACTCCAGATGCACAAGAGCTTATTCATTTCCAATGCGGAGCATTTTCAGGGTGTGCAATTGAAGTGCAGGTGTAGGTAGTAAAAGCTTCAGGATATCCTGCAAAGCCTGACAATTTCGAAACTGCTGGATGAGTTGCGCCGCTTTACAGGCTTGAAAGTAAGCAAAGCGCTCTGCTTCTTCACTAGAAAGATTCGCATGATATTGCTCTGTTCAAATAATTTTGTTCACATAACCCCGTATACAAGCTACAAGCCTATGGCGGCGACCAAAAAAAATCACTAGAATATGTGAAGGTTGATTATCCAGCTGGCGCCGTTTGGCCATGGGTCACTAATCTACCCGTTTGCAATGATCACGATCCGGCAGCTTGAGACATTGACGCTGTACCGTAGGTTCGGTTGATGTAGTTAATAGCCATCTAGGATGAATTAAAATGATTGGAATTGGGGCCTGCAATTCAAACAATGGTCCAAGCTTCTTGTGACATGGAAGCTTGTATTGGTACAGTAAGCAATACTACTCGTTACCAGCATTTAGTGCTGTAATAGCATGCCTTGGTTGAGAGGCTGTGGCTACATTGCTATTGACCCAGGCCCCCAAGAGAAACGCAGCTGTTTTCCCTACAAAACTGTCCTCTCAAGAGAACGGATACCCTGCTGCCACACCCGGTCACTGACTTCTCGCACGGACTATGCCCAGCCTCCATTTTGCATCACTAAATGCTGGCCAACATTTGATCTACCTACCCCACAATGTTGGTACCTGTGTCACAATGTCATGGCGTAAAGTTTATCGTCTGATGAGGTCCGGGAGCGGCAGGCAGAATCTGCCTGTCCGGAGAGGTTCCGTATCGACAGAAGTACTTATTGCATGTCCTTACTGTTCATTTTCGCAGTTATTGGATGAGTTATTGTTAGTTTCGGCGGAATTAATTAGATGGTAATCTCCACTTCCTATTATTTCCCGCTTTGGTAATTTTTCTAAGGGACGGGAGTGTGTCACCATGCTGTGGCGCGCGATGTACTCTTGCTCAGAACTTAGAGAAGTATGGGCAATTTGTACCAGCCAGCTCTTACTCCTTATTCTAATGGCACTTTCTTTTTATGAGGTGTCTTTGATCCCGTAAGCATTCTAGGTGTCTTAGATCACTTGGTGATGGCTAGAATAGCAGCACTTGCAGGAGTTCTTTGACTACCCTGTATGGCAACACAGCAACTCAAATCAGCATGCTTATGTCAACACTGTCTCTGGGCATCTCTAGACAGGCGTACTGAATTAACACCTGGCATGGCGGAGGATCCTGATGTCTCTATCTATGACTGTATCACTTTGAAATTTCATTTTGAGCAAGAACCATACCTGAAGCAAGGCTGGTAACTTTTCAAGGATTGCTCTATTGGTTCCTGAGCTGGGCACAGCTTATTATACAGTATTCAGATCTCTCGATACAAGAGGCTCAGTTGGAAGGTGGGTTGCGCCCGCAATTTGATTACTCACCACAAATTGACATTGGGAGGCTGTATAGGAGATGTACCATACCTTGGGATGCTGGCCGCTGCAGCGCTGGATGCGGCGCAGGCGGAAGTGAAGCTATCTAGTTAACATCCAGAACATTATTTGATTTTGAAATAATGTCCGGTCATCAATTTATAGTAGTTGATGTCACCCCAACAAGAGTCCTTGGTGCAAGGTTCTATAAGTATGTACTCCAGAGAGTTATAACGCTGCAGTGGAGACCTCTACAGCTGGATATATCAATAACAAATCCAATACGCCACAAAGCTGGTTACCCTTTCCGCCTCAAGCCAGCCTCCGGGCTTTGAGGGTCTAGACCCAGGGGCCGTGCCATGGCGAACAGCTGCATGCGGGATCAGGTGACAAAAAAAAAAAAAAAAAAACCCCTTTCCGCCTAATTTGGTAATGGCAATGACAAATTTGAACGGGACAAGGGATGTTCGAGGAAAGTGGAAATTTAAAGCATTTAAGTCTCACCGTGATAGCTCAGATAATACAATCCCCTTTTGTTTTGTATGTAATTGGCTCTAGATTGTTCACACATGGATAGGTAAAAAGGAATGAGTGGAATGTTGGATAGTGCAGAGAAGGGGTACAAATCACCATCTACCCGGCACTCGAATGCGTAGGAGTTACATAGGGACAGGTTGGGGCAACAGAAAGACATGGATTGGATAGCAATGGGTAAAGGAGGGGAAGATAGATAATGTAGAGGAATCTTATGGCTGTTTGGAAGGTAGAGGCGGATAGGAACGGCGATAAGGAGCGCCAGTGGCCCAACCGTGTCATCATGATGAAAGCCCAGTGCGTTAATAGTATTATGAAACTGAAACGAAAGTTAATACGGAGACGTTTTCCCAAGGGCGTCCAGTATGAACTCGTACATGAACAATGTCAGTCAACTACCAAATGGCGTTACGTCAGCAATGACACAGCGTGCATACGCAAGAACTTCCACACCTTCCTCCTGATTCCGGAAAATTTGAGCTGGGCATAGTAGGATTGTAAGAGCTCTTCTACGTTTTCTATTGCATTAACCCCTTCATTCGTTGAACTAAATGAGCTGAACAGGAACCTCAATCCTCCCTAGCGACACGTCATATATTTTCATTCCCCGGGGGACTGAAGCCAGAGTAAGTTCACAATAGCGCAGCCATCCATTTCCCACTCCAATGCAATAAACTGCAAGCCCACGGCCTCACTGTCACGGAGTGGGCT